ATTTTTTCACTGCACTTTAACATTTTTAACGTTTGTATACAAAGTTCCTGTTCCAAAATAACTGTCTAACCGTTCGGTTTGAAATATTTTCAAAAGTTATATGTTTTCATATCTCGCTATCCCACAGAAAAAGTCCTTTAAATAATATCTATTCCCTTGTTTTGACTTCTGTGGAAAACAAATCGCAAACCTTGGCAAAACTTCAAGCGGAAGTAAACAAATTTTTCTTTGGCCTTTCACCGCCTTCTGCCTTCTGGCTTTTGATTTTTGATTTTACCATTTGCCATGGTACATTGTACTTTTCTTAAGGTCGCCCCATGGAATGCAACATTTTGTTGCAGGCTGCTAACTAACTGAAACGCAACTGTACCACATCTGAATATAATTATGATGGAATGTTTATTCGGCAAGTGCAGCTATAAAAAATTGTTGTGCGGGTGGTATTTTTTTTGGAAGTTTTTATTCAGTTGAAATGTTTTCGCCGTGTTGACATTGTTTTGCTGAACGGAAAAAATACGCTTGTCGCATTTATTTACTAACCCAGACCCAACTGGTTGTTGTTGCAATTGTTTACTCTTGTTCTTCTGCTTATTTCTGTGTTGTATTTGTTGTTGTTCGGCAATCAACAATAACAAGAAGCAGCGGCAGAAATAACAACAATAACAGGGCCACAGAACGCTGCTGCAATTGGCAACACTTAGAAAAATAATTCAAATCTAGGTGGCACTAAGTAACTACTACAAATATTATGGAGTCTTAAAAGCATTTACTCATACTGCATTTTGAATTTTTAATAATTTTAATTGGCCTCTGGTTTTCGAAAATTGTTTGTGCATAGGTATATGAATGTTTAACTATATTACTACTAGTTTCAGCGTTGCTAAAAATGTTTTGAAATTGTTAGAAAATGGTATTGTGTTTTTCAAAATCGTTTTGAAAAGTATTAGGGCCAGTAGATGATATTTTAGCGTAGTTTAAAGATAAATAATTAAACAATATAAAGTGACACAGTATTTAAATGATTATTTAACCTTTTCGGAATATGTGGCCTTTTGAAAACGGTATAAAGACTTTGCATCTATACGATAAAAAATCGTTTATGTGGTATTTAGGTATATGATATTCGTCACTTACAGTGCATTTTCGGTTCGTTTTGGTTAGCTATCTCTACTTTGGTTGATTTTTCGTGTGCATTCAGCAAAAATGGTTTTGTGCAGCTCCTGATGTTGCTGTTGTTGTTACTCGTGTTGGGTCTATTTGGTTGTTTTATTTTGGCCACGTTGTTTTTTACGTGCAAGTTGTGCCTTTTTTTTGTTTTTGCGCTCTTACTGATGTAAATTTGCGAAAGTACAGCTGTTAACAATAAGAATGACACCCATATAAACACTCCCGCAGCGGCAACAAAAATGCCAGCTCAGCTATCTTGGCATAGCAAAACCAAAATGCTACAAAGTATCTGGACAGAGAAGGGGAAATGCCAAAAAAGTCAAGCACAAATCAAACAACAGCGAATGCAAAAAAAAATTTAATTAATTAAGCAATTTTTGTTCCGCTGCTGTCCAACCAACGTTGGCAACACGTGAGTTTTTTATGTATTTATTATCTTTTTTGTGGGTGGTGGTCGGGCGTGGAAATGTATCTGCCTGCTTATGTTTTAGCCTCAGTTCTTGGCTTTAGTCGTTTTTCCTTCTTTTTTTTATGAGTTTTTCCATAGTTGTTGCTCATCGGGCATTTGTCGAATATTTCACTGCGCTTTTCATGGCTGTCGACGCGCTGTAATGCCTTGAAATGTAATGGAAAAGTGACCAAAACAAAGCTAAACTTGCGCATATAAGTATGTCATTATGCAGACAGGTGGGTTAAGCTAGTTATAGTAAATTATTATTAATTATAGTAAATTAATGCAAATTAAAATAGGGAATTACATTTGACAAATAGTGCAAATTGTGGCGGGAAATTCTGTTTTGCACAATCATAAATATTCATTTTGGGTTAAAATAAAAACGAATATAAATAGTTAAGCGTTATTTGGTAACAACTGTGAAATCGATAGAAATTGGGGAAAAAATAATAAACTGAAACAATACTTAAAAGTGTGGGCGTGGCAAAAGGTTTTTTGCAAAACTCTCACGACCACACGTTAAACAAATTTTGAGTTTTTTCATTTAATTATTTTTTTCCCAATTTCTACCGATATTCCAAATTCTGAAATTTTTCGTTTGCTCTTCCACTAGCTGAGTAACGGGTATCTGATAGTCGGGGAACTCGACTATAGCATTCTATCTTGTTTTGTAATTAGTTCAATTTGGAAACTGCAAAAGTAGCCTTTACCTATAAAGGTCACCTTCATCAGATAATAAAACAAGTATGTAAGCATTTTTAACAAATAATCATTAGGTGCAAATGCACACTACCAACCAGTGGAAAGCAGGATATGACCGGGAGCAAAACGAGTTGGCCAAATGGTCCTTTGGGGCGTGGTGGGGTTAAGGGCAATGAGGCAGTGAAACAAAACGAGCCAACATCTGAATGAAATACAATAAAATTTGAAAACAAACAAATGCAAACACACAGACAGAGGCAAACAAGCAAACGTACAAACACAACAAGGAGCCAATGCGAATGCGACTAATGAGCACTGAAACAACAACAAAGAAGCGCAGCACGAAGAAGTAGATACAACGGTGAAGGGGGGAGGGAGGCGGAGAGAGAGGGGAGGCATGGTGGAGCAAGGGGGTGGATTTAACGTTGGCAGCCACCACCCCGCTTGCCACACCCCTCTTGAGATAAACAAATAGCTTTAAATCCAAGTAAAAAACAATAAAATCCTATTTTTCGAATTTATAGTACCGCGCCGTTGGGTTGATCAGCTATAGGTATATAATTCAATATAATTCGGATTCTTTTGATTGACTTAGGTTTCAGAATTTCATAATTATAATGCAGCTAATTCGAAAATATAATTTTCCAACACTTTAAGAAGAAAGTTAAATATTTAAGAACTGCCCTAATGTATTTAAATGCTACAAAGTTGTTACTTACTTAATTTACATATAAATTCCTTTTTTTATGATATACAATCACTTAAGAGGTATTTTCTAGTCAAGTATGCCTGTGGATTAACTCAACTTCCTGGGTAACAGGACAACAACCACAACAACAACAACAACGACGAGGACAAGAAACAGTTTGTGTTGTATAGTAAAATGCTTATTTACGCATACAATTGCACGTGAGCGGACGAAAGCCGAGGGAGAGAGAGGGACACGAGAAAGCTGGGCGCTGGGTGCAAGTGCGACAGCAATAGCCAAAAGGGGGCTGGTGCCAGGGGGGAGGGGGGAGCAGCAGAGGTGGGCGGTGGGTTAAAATAGGAAGTTTTGTTTGCAGTGCGCACAGCAACGAGGAGAGACAAACACAACTGTAACTGTAATTGTGTGTTTGTTTGCTCGAAACTTCCCCCCACTGCGGCAATCGCCCCACCCACAACCACACACCCACCACCCCACTTCTGACCACCCAACGCCCCAACCACCCACAGCTGTCTGGCTTCTGTTTCCCTCGTTCTGTCGGCCAAATAAAAAGTTTGTTGAGAACATGGGCAAATGTTTGTTTTAGAAAACGGCAAATGCTTCGGTTGTTTCATCATTATCTTCCTGGAAATTAACATCGTCGTCATCATCGTGTTTCGTATTTGTCTTGGTCTTTGTTTTTTTTCTCTTTTTTTTCTTTGGTTCTCTTGGTTTCCTTCGTTTATTATGCACTTACTTAGTCTCCTTTTCACTTTCTCTTTCGCTTGGTGGGTATTACACCTGACTTTAGCGCATTGTATATTTTATTTAATTTATGGCCCAACATTAAAAATTTCAAAAATCAAAATAGTACAATTTCTAAAAATATATTATTTCACTAACATACATTTTTTTCCTTTGCAGTAATCAGTTGTTTTGATTATATAATTTAAAAAAAATTTTAATTAGGAATGCAGTTATAAACATGAAAAGAAAATAAAAGTATTTGTGAATATTTTAAGTTGTATTAACGTATTTAAACAATGCATTTTCATGTAAGGGTATTGCAGAGTCCGCAGCCTCGATTAATTATTTGGATCCTTGTTTGCTTCATCGTCATCGTATATTCGTTTTTGTCGTCAGCTACTTTTGCGTAGTTTTGTTGATTTTATTTGTTTTGCTTTGTTTTATTTTTGTTTGATTTACGTTTGGTCGTACCACTTACACTGCGCGAAATGGTAGTTATTGATATCGTAAAGGTGTTTCTTTTAATATTTTCAATTATATTTTCCCAATTAGCATTACGTGATTTAAACTTAAAATCAGAGATTGCTTTCAGTTTATATATATTTATGCAGTCTTAAAAATAATTCTTTGTAAAGCTTTAAATTATAAAATTGTATATTAGTGCTCAAAGGCGCTGTCTCCATCTCCTTCTAACAAACCGCACCGCCCAAACCACCTACTGCCCCGCCCACTTTTCAAAGCGCCCTCCTAAAATTGTTGGCCTGTCGCCGTGTTTTGTTTTTCTTGTGCTGCTTCTTCTATTATTCGGCTGAGTGGGTGGAGGGGCTGGAAAGTGGAGAGTTTTTCTTTTCCTATTTAATACTGTTTTTTTTGTTTCTCCCTGTTTTGTTGTATTTTGTGTAGGTGTATTGACTTAAAGTTTGTTATACTTCTTTGCCTTTTGTCTTTCAGTTCCAGGTTCAATTTTGCTTCTTATTTACGCTTCCTCTTCTTCTTTTCCTTGGTCCTGGACATGTTGTTGCTGTTGTTGTTGGCTGAAGGAAACGCCTTCGAAACATTTTGTTGTTTGTCCTTCGGATGGTTTGGTTTGGAAAATTTCACCAAGTTTCTTCCGACTGTTTCCAGTCCTATACTGTTTGTTTAATCTCAGTTTTTTCAGAACATTTTAGGTTTTAGATAGATAAAAAACCAATATTTTTACAGAGAAAAATGAAAACAAGTTACATGTAGTAATGCGTTTTCCTTCAAACACATCTAAACCTTAGTTCCGGAAATTCATCGCCTTAGGATATGCTTTTTTAAAAATCTTAAGTTTTTATACATTTCTTCCGACAAATTCTTTGTGAAACCGTATAGATAGTGCCCCCATGAAATGAATAAGCAGACCAAAGAATGGTCGCGAGCTCGGCTATGTAAGCCTAAGGATAATCTTACCACCGAGGCGGGAAAACGAGAACGTTTTGTGCCGTCCTGCGAACTGGAGGTGACTACTACACTGTTACCTTTAATTTGAAATATCTTAAAATATCTTCAGAGAAAAGGATTTTTTTAAGCTTAAATGAATACCTTTTGAAAGAACCCACTTAAGTAGGCAACCAAAAAAGTTCTTAATGTTGGGAGCACACTCCGTGCCGTTGTCTTGCATGCTGGTTTTTTTTTTTTTTTTTTTGTTTATTATTATAAAGCGACGAATCCGTACATGCAGTACTAGTACCATAACATTGCAATTAAACATATAAATAATATAACCAAACTTCTCACTTATCGTGGGAAGACTAACAACAGAGTCTCAAACGTCGAGGGGGTCTTTAAAGCTGTCCAATTGTTTTGGCAAAGCCCTTTCTTTTAAGCCTTCTTAGAGGCCTGGCAGGGAGTAGGCGTCTTGCTAGCATGCTGTGGTGTCTTTTAAGCCTATCACTGTATCTGCTTGTGTGCCTTGAGATCTGTTCTTCCACTGTATGCAGATTAAGGTCCCGATGAAGGGTTGAGCTACGTACATAGTATGGGCAGTTGGTGATGGCACGCATTGCACGATTTTGCAAGACCTCAATGCGTTTATAGTTCGATTTTGCAGCAATACCCCAGATCTGCACTCCATATAGCCAGATCGGGGCTATACAGTGGGCGTATACTGCCCTTTTGGCTCTAAGTGTCATGGTGCTTCTTCTGTTGATCAACCATCGCAGTTGTTGCATTCTCTGACCGCATCTCCGTGCCGCAGCTTTTAAGTGTGGGCCAAAGGTCAACCGTTTGTCAAGGGTGATCCCAAGGTATTTAGCCTGCAGAGGTTGTTCTAGGGTTACGCCATCAAATTGTATGGGTGGTGTGCGCCTAATGAGAGTCTTCAAGGTGAAACAAGGATTGATGGTCTTATGTGGATTTACCTTTAAGTTCCATCTTTTGCACCATGCAGCCAAAGTATTGAGATACTCTTGGAGGCCACGTGCTGCCTCAGTGCAAGAACTGGAGCTGTATAACAGTGCGATATCGTCAGCGTAAGTGGCGAGTAGGGCCTTCCTGGGAGCTTCCATATGGTGCATATTTGGGCAAGGCAAATCCGCGGTAAATATTGAGTAGAGCAGCGGGCCGAGGACGCTGCCCTGCGGAACTCCAGCTCTCATGTAGCAAGGGGTTGAGTAGGTGCTTCTGACCCTGACCATGAACTTCCTATCTTCCAGGTAAGATTTCAGGACTCCATAGTATGGTGCTGGAAGCAGCTTTTTTATTTTGCAGAGTAGGCCGATATGCCAGACTCTGTCAAATGCTTGCTGCATGTCAATAAATACAGCATTGCAGTATTCCAAGTCGTCAAACGCCTGAATAATGTGCTTAACCAGTCTGTGAACCTGCTCCACAGTGCTGTGTCCCTGTCGAAATCCAAACTGGTGATCTGGGAGGATACGGCGCTCCTTAATAAAGTCACCTAGTCTGTTGGCAATCAGCCTTTCCCATATCTTGGATAGCGAAGACAGCAGACTTATGGGCCGATACGATTCCGGATCCTCTTCAGGTTTCCCAGGCTTATGTATCATGAGAATTGCTGCCATTTTCCACTGCTTTGGGAAGGACTGCACCCTAAATATAGCATTAAATATTTTCGCCATGTATAGGATGGCTCGGAGAGGTAGCGCTTTTAACGTGGCATTACAGACATTGTCGATGCCAGGAGTCTTCTTTATTGGCATTGATTTAATGACTTCGGCAATTTCCTCAACCCTGATTGGTTTAATTGGTAGCGACATTTGTAGGGGTATCTCTAGGCTGTCAAGCGTCTCTCGATTCTGCTCCATTGTAGCGAATTGGTAATGGGTGAACCTAGTCTCCAAATGATTTGCAAAGGAATTGGCCTGTTCCTCCTCGTTTTTAGCAAGTTCACCTCCCGGGCATCTAATGGGTACCTGTCTGAACGGTTGTCTTTTGAGGGATTTGGTGGACTTCCAGAGTGAATACCCAGCATCCACCGTATAGTCCATAGAAGCCAGCTTCTGCTCAAAAAAGATACTTCGAAGGTCTCTTACCACATTTCGTAGTTGTTTTGCAGCACGGTTCCATAAGATGCGGTCCCAGGGATCTTGAGATCGGATTGCTCGCCTTCTGAGTCTCCTTTTCTGTGTCAGGAGCTCTCTAGCCTCTCTTGTTAGGGATATTCCATAGGGGGTGCCTGTCCGAGGAACAGAAGGCGTAGATGCAGTCGCAGCCCTGTGAATACTTTGCGTAAGGTGATCAACAGCCATTTCAATTTCTTCACCAGAATTTAGCGTGATGTTCAACGGGATCATGCTCTCCAGTTGTTGACTAAAAGCGAGCGGGTCAGTGTGCTTGTTGACTAATCGTGGACTTGGATTCACATGGGTACTATCTGTCACAATACTGATGATCAAAGGCAAGTGATCGGAGTCCAGATCCCAACTTTGTGTTATACTTGTTAGGGAATCTGGTATACCATGATGCACCGCGAAGTCAATGCAGGAAGGCGTATGACTGGGTACATAAGGATACCTGGTTGGCGAACCAGTTGCAAGTATCTTAGCTCCAGTGATAGAGATGGCTTCCGCTAGCTCACGCCCCCGGGGTGAATTGTAGGTGTCGCCCCAAAGCCAGTGTCGGGCGTTCCAGTCGCCACCAATCATATACCGTTGGCCGCAAGAGCGTATTGTGTCAGTAAATTGTCTTTCGTCGATACTAACACTGGGAGGACAGTAAATGGCGCCGAACTGCACGTCACCCAGTCCTGTAGCTACTTTTACTGTAGACATTTGTATGCTGCGTGTCTCTATGACCCTTTGCGGGAAATGGCGAAGAGTTGTCCTAACGAACACGGCTGCTCCACCAACGCTATTATTATTTTGCGATGGCCTAAATGCTGGATAGAAAGCATAACCATATATCTTAACAGTATCCCCTCTTTTAATTCTAAGTTCCGTCACAAGAAGAATGTCCACGCTATTATTGTGCGCGTAAAGCTCAATATCTTTAGCTTTTCTTGAAATGCCGTTGGCATTCCAAATAAGAATCTTTAGTGGATTCATTGTGGGTGTGGAGCGTTGTTAGAAAGCTGGTAGGTATGTTCATTCCCAGCTCCTTGCTTTAACATGGTGGTTATTTCAAATACCATTCTTTCGAGCTTTTCAAGTCGTTGATTGGTTTGATTTCTGTGATGTTGCTGATCTTGTTGCTGCTGTTGCAACCACATAAGAAACTGATGTTGTTGTTGTTGTTGCATTTGCTGCTGCCATTCTTGGAACTGTTGTTGTTGCTGTTGTAACAATGCTTGGACGTCAAGTGAATTATTTTGCTGAGTGTTCAGTCGTTGTTGCTGCGATAACTGTTGCGTTTGTAAGTTATATAAACGTCGCTGAGCTGGTCCATCCTTGGAGGGAGTTGTATTAGAGTATTCTTTTGCTACTGTGGCATAGGATACTTTTGTATTTACCCCAGGGCCTATAGATGGTTGATGCTGTACCATATTTTGGTGTTGTTGTGTTGGTTGCTGATCTTCAGTTGACTGGTTAGTACTCTTACGGCGATTAATCTGCACGGAAGGAAACTGTTGCTGATCTCTATGGTTGAACCCATGATTCTGCCTATTTAAGTGATTCGCCTTCTTCGCAGGCCCCATAGATCTGCGGAGAAGCTCCTGGTACTTATGGCAACCTTTATAACTAGCCATGTGATCGTGAGAACAGTGATAGCATGTGGGCAGAGCATCTACAGGACGTGTACATTGTGTGGTTTGGTGATTTTCACCACACCTGGCACAATTTGGATGTCTGCGGCAGTATTTAGCTGTATGGCCATACTCCTGGCAACGTCGACATTGTGCAATTTCACTAGACTTTCGCATCCTTTCGATCCGTATTTTCTGTCGGCAAAGGGTCTTCACGTGATAAATTTCATTAATATTAGGGCAGGGCTTAATGTTAATGAAAAAAATATTGAGTTTTTCATCTTTATTAACCCTTGAACTAGGGTTGTGAATGTGAAGTACTTCATAGCCTAAACATTTCAGATCGGCCGTTATATCTTTGTTTTGTGTGCTGTGATGTAAGTCCCTTACTACAATTCTGTGTGCTTTTTCTGTCAGCATTTGGTAAGTGTGAAACTGCATACCAATTTCATCCATATAGCTAACAATTTTTCTGTAAGTGTCACTGTCTTTGGGAAATATTCTGACTGTTTCCCCTTGGTTAGCTTTGACTACGACGTTATCTAGACTTGCCTTTTCTTGTATGAGCTCAAATAGGTCATTTAAGTTGCTAATATTAACAACAATTTGGGGTGGTTTTTTAAAATCTTTGAGTTGATTGTTGGCGTTAGATGTTTCCTGGGATTTATTGGCAGTATTGTTTTCTGCAGATTGAAATTCGTCCATGCGGGCACTAGCATCATCGGCATCCTCAGACATCATGTCTTCCCCGTTTTCTTCATTAGTAATGATGTCCGTGTCGAGAATAGCAAACCTGTTACTAGAGCTTGCCTTCTGGTTAATTGTGGGGACCAAGTGCGGGCCCTGGGTACTGCTCACTCTTTTCGGTTTAAGGATGGGGGACAGTGGCTTTGCATTTTTTCTCTTGCCTGCTTTCCGATTTTGATCATCCAGTAATCTTCTGGCAGCACCGCTTAGATTTTTTGCTGCAATGTCGGGGCTGGTCAATTGGGAACATTCTTGGTTTGCTACACTTGAACCAGAACAGATGCTGCTCATTGTGGGATTTGCCATTGTGTATATGGTGCTGCTACTGGCACTAGAAAATGTCACTGTTGTTGTGGTGGGACTGCTTTGAGACTTATTGCATGTAATGCGTTGAATTTCTGATCGGCACTCGTCTCTAATCTTACTAGGTAATTTTCCAGCTATTGAGAACATTTTTTCATGATCAATCTGCTTCTTTATAAGCTGAGAGTCATCGAAACTGTTTTCATTCATTGTTTTTATATTGTCTTAATATTCAGCAAATAATTTGCGGGCCCAAATGTCCGGAACAGAGCATAAACAGTTCGGTTTTACTGATAAGCAAAGTTTGTTTACCTCTTGTGCAGTTCTGCGCGGGGTGAGGTAGATGACTTGCCCGAAGGGCAGAAAGCACCGTTTGAATGCACTTCACCTGATGCACTTTTTGTTTTTGTCAAACTGCCGACACCGCTCAAAGCAGCGCCCAAATAAATGATTTGTGCTATTTTGAGCACAAAAGGGAATGCACCGATAAGCAAAAAATAAATCACTTTTGCATGCGCGCGACACAACCGATCTCTTTGACTGCCAGAGTAGGAATCCAGTAGCCTTGGGTGCACTTACTTATGCACTGGTCACTAAAGAACTCTTGCATGCTGGTAATAAATTTTCCTGGTTTTTTTCTTACAGTGCAGTCCGGTATCGATGTCGCACTTGATTGGCTGGGAGTACGCTCGAATTTGGCTGCGCGATCGCGACAAATTTGTGCAGCAACGCGAACGGGCTGTCAAAGCCAAATATATCAAGAATGACTTTGAGTGGTGGTTGAGGCTGCGAAAAACATCCAAGAAGTTCTGCAAAGTGGCGGCATAGAAGCGAAAAAAAATGAGAACTAAATTTTTCTTTATCCATTTTTAAGAGGAAATACGGTTATTTAAATAAAAATATTAGCATACCCGATTGTATTTGGTTGCAAGCTTATGTTTTAGCCGGATGAAACAAACAGGGAGATTGAATTCAATACCCATTAAGAGTATGCAGTTCATTTCGTTGTTACTTGGCATCTTATTGTTTACTGGAAGAATGGATCCTTAAATGTTGTTCTAGTCCTAGAATAGTTCCTGAAATGCTTTAAAACTGTATTTCAGTCAATTTCATAATTTAGCGTGGACACACACCGCAATGGTTCGGTAATATGCTAACGCTTTCCAGAAGCTCTTGTAAAATATTTGTAAGTGTTGGTGTTACATGGAGATTTTTATTGACGTATGTAACTACGTAAGAACAGCAAGAGTTTTTTTTATCTTCCCAGTCGGGTTAATTATTTTATGTAATCATTTTTTTTTTGCGTCTGCGCTTTATAATCCATAACATGGCGTGGCAAATGGAATTAAATTTAAATTAGCATCTCATTACAGACAAAAATAACTTCCGCTTGTGCATTACAGTGGATAATTATGTAACGGATTTACAAGACTAGTTTTTAAGAGATGTAAGAACATGCTTCAGCTCTGCACGACATCGGTGGAAGAATCCTTATTAGCTCTTTTTTAACTGCCGCTCTAGCTTTTTTAATAATTTTTTTGATACTTATAATAAAACTAATACTACTAATTCTAATAAATTTACATACTTTCTTTCACCTGTTCCACAAATTTTGATCAAATGAGCATTGAAAATTGCCTAGATACCATAAAATATTATATGAAAATTAAAGTAGTTAGTTTGTTTCTCCTTGCTCGTATTTCCGTAAAATTATTAATATGTATATTACAATTGTATGTATGCATTATATAAGTATAACTTATATATTAATAAGAATATTTACTTTCTACGGCAATAAGGCATTGTTTCAAGAACTGATCTTTTGTGCATTCAAATAACTATGCTCAATAACTTTGTAAGGACTTGTAAGGGCTCACCAAATAACTCAATTTCAGGACTCTCCGTGGGTGGAAAACCTGACACCCACGCAATCAAACCGGTTAAAAGAGAGTGAAAAAGAGTAACCGCACGAAAGCAACAATTGCTTGCTCTTATGCACAGAGAAAAAATATTGCAGCAAAAATAATGATGCAGAAGGAAAATGTAACAATTTTGTATTTCGCATTGAGTTGCATTGGAATAGATAAAGACTTACGTTTTTAATATTTATATATTTTAGGTATTTGATTAAATTCGCTTAATGGGTAAGACTAGAAATTTTTGAATTGCAAAAGTGAAACAATCTTTACTTTACCGTTACGCGAACTACAGTTAGCGAGCGCACAGCGAGAAGAGTAAGCGCAAGGAGCGACTCGAGCGCAAGAGGCAGCAGCTGGAGAGGGGAGGGAGAGAACATGACAAGAGCGGTGAGCAAGAGTAGTCAGTAGTTCGGCGGTGGGCGTGAGAGAGTAAAGGCGCCCGAATCAGCAGCCGCTTTTCGTAACTCACTCAATGCGAATTGTTTTCAAGCGCCAGAGAGAATCTATATCTACATATATAGAGGGGCTTCTCCGACTCGGTTCGAATATGTTTTTCGCAGCGCGCGCGTTCGCATCGGAAAATCAGAAAAGCTGGCGAGCGTTTAATAACAAATTCGGCAGGTTCAATTGTTAATTGTTTTCCTACCTCCCCCCTCGCTACGTTGACTATTTCGTCGCAGGTTTTTCGCCAGCGGAAATCATCCGTAATAATCGTTTATCGTTGTTTTGTTATATTCGCGTAATTCGTTGTTTGTTCAACCACGAAATACTTGTTACGCATTTCGAAAATATTTCCAAGCAGTGAAAATCAAAACGAATAAAATATGTTGGCTGCTTTTCGTGTTTTCCGCGTACGTGTGTGTTATTGTGTTAGTGAGTGAAAAGTAACAAACAAATAAATAAATAGAAAACAAAAGCAGGAGCCAAAGCAAATCCAAAGGCAAATACTTGCAAAGTAAGTTGGCAATTTCAGTGTGTGTGTGCGCTAGCATATGTTGCATTATTTTGCCCACCAATTTACATGTTTTTCACAATTTCTTCTCTCACAAATGGCAACATACTATTATGGATGATTTTAACGGTGCTTGCAGTTGACTTTTCCATTGAGAAATATGAAAAAATGCGTTCAATATGTCAGCGTACACACAAACACACACACACACAAGTGGCGGCTAACTGTTGTTTGTGTGCATGTGGGTGAATTGGCAATAAGGCGCACGTGTATTGGTGTGTGTTTGTTTTTGTTGCCTTTGCGGCCAAGTGGCAGCAAAACGTTGCAAGCAACAAATACAATAACTACGATGGCAAAACAAGTGCAGTCAGCAAAACCAGTGCCTCTCGTTCTGCGCTCTCCCACTCTCTCTAATACCCACCTCCTGCTCCCACACTCACTCACTCACTCACTCCTCTCCTTCGCACCCATTGACGCAACTGCATGGTCAGGGCTTCTTTTACTGTTGCAAAGCTCATGCGTGGACCCGGTTGCAAAATGAATGCACGATGTACTTAGTTCGTTAATTTCGCCAAATCAGAAAATATAAATATAAATCTACGGATTTCATTGCCTGAAGCTAGAGAAACATTTTGTTCATTATTTGTGTGAGCACTTTTGTGAAGCATAACCGTGGTTTGAAGCCATCACGACTTCATGAACTTCAGGGCATAAACTTTGCAATTTACTATCTATGGTCGTCTATGGATTTTTGGCTTCGCGCTTTTTGCTCTTCGAAGTGCGCTGCTCTCTTTGCGCCAAACAAAGCTCAGCCGACAATTGTCGCGTCTTTCGCGTCTGCCTCCTTATATCTTTTACAATTTTTGCTTTCATACACTGAAATAAACTAGTGGTAGTTGCGCATAAAAACCGTACTATTACAGTTTCTGGCTGAATAAATTCGTTTGAATTCACGAATTTAATTAGTTTCTGATAAAAATGTTGTATATTTTGCTGATTATTTCGCTGATATTTTTAAATAGTATGTAGTTAATGTAACATGTGGTGAATACTCTAGATAAAGTTAATAAATTTGGCTTAAAACCAAATCTTTGTGGTATAAACGGAATACTTTGAAAGTGTATCTCATTGGCTTTTCCACCTCGAGGCGTTTTTCGCTTGAAGCTTTTGCGAGTTTGGTTCGATTTCCATTTGCGTTTAATTGCATTTATGCATATTTAATCGAGTTTGACTTTGGTGAGCTTTTTACTTTGGCATATGCTAGATTGTAGCCCAGAAATGGGGTTGTTTTGGGTGAAAATGGGCCCTTGCTGATCCGAAAGATAGGTTTCAGTTTCGTCCTCTTTGGTAGTGAGATGTTTGGACAAAGTTTTCTAATTGGCCTTGACGCCGTTTTCCGAGTTTTAGTGCTAGTAAAAGGCAAGAGTGCGAACTTTCTCCGCCTTTAATGAGATAATTTATTTGCAATTATAATTTGGTTCATTAAAGTTAATTTAATTCTGGGTAGGCGTTACATTCCAACCAAATGGAATGACAATGGATGTAGGGTGCAAGATAAAAGGATTTTAGTTAGTGGAAAATATATTTTGTGCTAATAACGGGTAATTACATTTTATTTAAATTTACTTATTTTTAACTATACAGCTATACAGTTTCATTGTGGCTGTGCACTTAAATATAAATCTTGTATTTTTGATATTTGCATTTAGAAAAACCACTTAATGTATTGCTTCTAAACAAATTGAAAATGGTAATGTCTTGTAATATTCCACTTTTCCGACACGTGTGCCCAACAATTTTTAACGCACGCCAACAGCTGTTGCATCCTAAGCAAACATTTGTGTGTTTAACTTAGTCCCCTTGAAAGCTCAATCAAAGTCGCATGTATACCGCCCACTAGCCGGAGATTTTCCAAACTTCTGCACCCCACACTCGCCAAGTTTGCAACTTGGCATATGTTTATCTGCTAATCATGGAAATGCGATGCGGTGTTTGCAAACTATTTATCTAGAAACGCTTGACTCAGAAGAGGGAAATCAGCGAAACAGCTTTTCAGCCAAACTGCAAATGGGTTACTAGCCCTACTACCGGTTTCCCACTTTTCCAGCCCGGCGACCATATGCCAAAAAGCTGAACCGAAAATCGCACACACATTTCGGTATAAAACGCGATGCGAAAAAAAACCTAAGTAGGCTGCTGTGACATTTCGTTGTCTGGGCCACACGCTCATCTCGAGCAAGGACTTTCACAAAGGATACAGTAGGATTAGGGTGCAGCCATTTCTTTGAAGCTAAAAATAAGACAAAAATTTCCTCTTTTGAAAAAACCCTATCATGTTTATTGGATTTAAGGGTCTAAATAACATTAGATTTTTTGTAATAAAGAAGCTAAGAATACCAGCTCCTTTTATGGCCTTTAATTGGCTTTTAGCAATTAAAGCTGTACAAATATTTACCTGGCATTTCAGAGCTTGCATGTGCTTAGAACTTGGCTTCGATCGAAGCACCCTGATGAAAACATTGGTATATGCAGGCACACATTTTGTATATCCGCACAGCGGCACACACAAATAATTCGCCATGCTATGTATGCCAGTATGCCGAAAAAAAGGGCAAGACATAGCGTCACCCGCTTTTGTTGCTGCCCACGCGTCACGGCCTGAACGGCAACCACCACCACCCACTCAACCCACTCAACTAACCCACCGACCGCTAAAACCACCCACCGACGAGCTCACCCACTCAGCCATCGTGTATGCCCTAACATTTACCTTGTTGGCCCGAAGTTGTCCACCAAACATTTGTTGCACTCAGCGCGTAGGAAACGCTTCTCACCATGCTCGTTTTTCACCAGGCTCTCCCATTTGCTCTCTCCCACTCTCTCTCTCTCTCTCTCTCCCTTGCTTTCTCCGCCTTTCTCTTTCTCTGTTTACATTGCTCTCTCTTTGAGGTAGCCGACGCCGGTCCGACGTCATCGCAAAGGTCAAAGAAAAGCAGCGCGAATAACTGTATAAAGGTCCCACTATTGCACCGAAAAAAATACTTAATTTTTATATTATTTAATAATTTGTTTAAATTAAATGGTAAATACAAACAAAATAATTTAGGCAGAAAGCTTAATTTGTAATATTGGATTAGGCACAAACATAAAATAATATATTTACAACTTATATAGTGAAAAATAGAAGAAACGAATATCTGTTTGGTCAAAAGTTAATGATAAATAAATTATTATGAGTAATGATAAATGATAAATGTTATTTTTATGCAATTAAAAAAAGTTATTTTTGTAAAATCTTTTAAGGTACAATTTTAAAGATTTGGGTACACTGTTAAAGTGTATTAAAGCTTTTTTGGAGAATCTAAGCGATTCTGTTACTGTGCGTTGCGTGGGTTGCGGGTGCAGATTGCGTGGGGTGGCGTCGGTGGGTGTCCAGCCATATGGTCAATTCAATGCACTGGGTAAATTGCTCCTTGGCGCAGGCAACGCTTCATTTGGTTTTCAAATTGAATAGGAAGCGTCGCGACATTGTGGGGCGCCTCGCCGAATATATGTATACATATATGTATGTATGCCCCCCAGCTCCCTTGCATTTGAGGATTCGTCCTCCGCTAATTGAGACATTTGTCAGTTTGCGCAAATGAGCAGCCATTTCTCAAAGGCATCCCTTCATTGGCCAAGGGAATTACTAGACGTTAAGTAAGGGCGTCTGCCCGACAGCAATTTCGTATTTTAATCGATTATACCCAATGGAATTTTAAGAAATATTTTACATTCATCTTCCAAAAAAAGTCACTCCTTTAAAGAAAGCCCTTTAATGTATTTTTTAAAAGAATTCGATACTATCTCTCATTTTGGGCCGAACATTATTATATAACAGACAAGGAATTTATCCTGTAACAAAGATATATACTACCATTGCTTTCTTCGATGTTTTTTGACATGGGCTACTTAAAAACGGTTCGCTTAGTTATCTTAGATGATGTTTGTTTTAAGGTTGTGGTTGAATTAGGAATGTCCAGCAGTCGGCCGTTTTCATTTGGTTTTGGTTTTTCCAGCTGCTCCGAAGTCCTGACTTGACTGGGCTTCTTACTAATCTTTTTCTCAGTCACCGACGTTAATGGAGTCTTGGGTATAGATTTCTTTATCTTCTTGGATGGCTTCAACTTCTTGGAAGATTCTTCTTTGTCAAGGGCGTCCATCTCAGCCATCAGTGCCTCAAAGGTCATATTCACCAGAAAGTAGCGACCTTTCGAATGTACATTTTCTGAGGTGTAAGACAAAAATATATTCACATAACTCACCGTCCAGCTTCTGCAGGAATCCCAGGCGATGGCCCATTTCGAGGGTTTGTTTTACAGGCGCTTTCAGCTCGTCTTGCGTTAATTCCGTGTTTTTGGATATGGTCACCAATATTTCTCGCAGTGTCGCCGGCGATTTCAGCAACTGCAGCGTGTGCACTATAATAGCCCCATTAAAGTTGGGCATGTTTCCGACTTTGTGTGTATTTCTGCTACTGTATAAATCTGTGCTATCAGTAAAATCGGTTCTAAGAACTGTGAGCTACGTGCAAAACACAAAATAAAACTGAACAGTTGCTAGTTCGATTTCAGTGACAAACAAATCCGCAGCATGCTGTAATTCCAATATTTTCGAAGCATTCATTTGAATAGCAAAGTTCATATATATTTGTAGTATATATTGATAGGAAAACCCCACCATCTTGATGGCGTCGGAATTATTGGCCCAGTTTAGATCGGCATCCAGTTGGTAACAAGACTTACGCAGACTGGCCGACGTCAAGCGCTTATCTATCAGCCTTGCAGGGGCTGGCCAATATAAACGGAGTTAGCCATATCTATCAATAATCCCCGACTCACAACAACAGGAGTGGTAAAAGAATTGAGCAAACTTTGCCGCTCAATGTTTTCCAATATTGGCATCTGATATTTACATCAGGGACGCCTTTCTGATGACGTTTTTCGCCACTGCTGCTCCTAATCAGCGTGGTCTAAATATAGAATCCCTGACCGCCCACACTTTGGTAATCGAGCCCAGAATACCCACCATATGGAGGTTTAATTAAACTGGGTTGTGCAAAAAACAAAAAAAAAGGCACAAAAAATCAAATGCAAAGAAAAGAACAAAGGATGTTTATACGCAAGCCAAAGTTTTTGGCATCAATCATGTTTATAGTGGCAATTAATGCCTCAACAGCTGTCGAAGTCAACTGACAAGCAAAGATGTCAATGCTCATGCTAGATAAATCTAGGTAAATCGACGAAAAGCTTAAATGAAGTTAAAATATTATCAACGTCTGTTAAGTACAAAAACTACGGCAGTTTCAGGGCTGCAAGGGACAGTTGAATAGCAGCCTCGTTTACTTTTGATATTGACAGTCAACGGTAATTTAATCAAAAAGTGTCACATTTTGCCATATGGCTGCCACTGAACCGAACGCTTGGGCGCCAATAAAAAAATGGTTAAAAAGAATGTGACAGCTAGAAAATATATCGTTTATCCGATGCTCTTTTTACGTAAGAATGTGAAGTGCTCCATGTAAGCTCTTTCCTTTTTAAAGTATTTGTACATCTTAGTTTTAAATGCTCAAGAAAAAGTTGAGATGCTTTTTGGCGATGGAACAATACAGTATTAAACATTTTTCAATGTAAAGTTATTAAATAACAAAATTAATAGTTGTTTAATATTCCTGTATAAGCTCTACTAAAATAAAATACATTTACGTTTCCCGGAAGAACGAGCAACAGAATCTGAAAATCAATACCGCGCGTATTCAGCGAAAATGTTATGTGCATACTTGCATATTAATTAAAAATAAATTTTTGTTTTTAAAAATAAACAACAATCCGGCGATTTTCAATAAGTTCTTAGTCATTTTTTGCACTTCATTTTACTGGCCCTTTGGCCCATTAAAGTATGCTTTAATTTTCGCCTAAAACTCAGTTTCTTTCTTTTTTTCTGTTTGGCAAAGGCCGTAAATGTATCCTGTGTATGCAAGAATGGCTTTTGTGGGTGGGTTAAATTCTATTTGATTTCCGTTTCGCATAGTCCTAAAAATAGAAGCGTCGAAAAATCAGGGACGACAGTTCGCCGCCCAGAGCGAACATTTATTTCAAATGTTTGATGTTTTCCTCGGTTAAATGTAGCCTTGTGACTCCAGACCCAAATGAAACACAAACACCGGACTACCAGGAAATTCGTTTGTTGATTGTTTTGCCTCAACGTACGGCACACTAGAAATACAAGAATTTAAAATGGCAACACACTTTCACACGGAAATTCTTTGCTCGAAATGCCATTTAAAATGCAGTACAAATGTTATTTTAACACTTGTCACTGTGCACAGCCATAAAACACCAACACGAAGTATTGTATGAAGTCGGTAGGTGAAAGCGGTAGTTGTGTTTAGAATGACACGCTTTCCACTTATTATTTATGGCAAGTGAGAAAAGCTGAATTGTGAACAATGCTGGTACGGTTTTTATTGGACAGGAAAGGATAGGTTACAAGCATTTATGAAAATACCTGAGTTTTATGTGGGTTTTGGTAAAGCGCTTCAAATAAAATACGAAAGAATTTTATACCACAACTGTAAAACTTGAAATACCTCGTAACAATGCTGCTAAATTAGCCTTAAAATATTTCATTATTGCCTTGCTGTCAATGGTTTCACTCGATTCAGTGAACTGCCTCAAGTTTAATTTGTTAATCAAATACGCTTAATTGAACTGAGATCTTGTATACCAAACTGGCCACACACACATATTCTTTGACATTTATGCAGAGTCAACCCATAAGCACACAGTGAGCTCCAAAGGTGAGTGTACATGCGTGAAGTATGCGTACATGTGTGATAAACGGCAGCCTCGGCAGACCGACAGTCATACTTGCTGTGTTTTATTCGAAAGGATGACCTGTCCGGCCGCCCTTTCCTTTATTTCCGTTATCCCTCATTGTGCACTTACACTAAGAAAAACTTACGAGGCTTTGATTGCAAATTAAATTGATCATATATTAACACAACTTAATCATCTGTATATATAATAATATATAATGTATATAATTTATATATTATATAATAGATTTGAAAGTAATGGAACAATGTTAAATCGCTTACATTATTAATTAATGCTAATGCTTATTAACTTAGAAAACAAGCTGTTTTAGCATTCATTTATTATTAAAAAAAAATTTTGCCAATTATTTTTAAAATATCCATTAGATCTGTTACTAATTTTGTTATATCGATTGAAAATCTTTGTAGTATTTAAGTTTAGTGAGTAAAGTGATCAAAAAGTGTCAGAAAATACAGAAACGCTGGGACAAACACGAAATGTGCTATTATTGTTACCGCAACTGTATGCTGTGATGCCAGCTCCAAAGCCAATTGTTTCAATGAGCTGTATGAAATTTCTTTCAGTGTCTCGTGTTCTCTGCTGGTCTGTCTGCAGATCATGTTCTCTGTGTATGAAGACCATGCAAGTGACAAATTATATGCACAATGGTGGGGCTGGGGGCTGGGTGACTGGGGGTGACTGTGGGGGACTGGGGAGACAGATGAGTTGTGTGAAAGTGTCAGCATCAGTGTCAGTTTGGGTTTTTCCAAGTAAAATGTTTTATGAGCAGGCAGCGAGACATTTTTGGCCTTGGTAAAATATGAGTTGCATTTTGCAGCTCCCTGAATACGGGCAATAAACTGTGACCTGCTCCACCTATGTGCCATGTGCATACATACTCGTACATACGAGTACGTATCTGGTATCTCATATATCAACTAATTGCAATTTGTTTATTGTCCATGTGTGTGCCATCCTTGTTTTGTGGGCTTTGTAATTTTGTTTTATGTCTGGGACGTGCCTTCTTGGCCAATTGGAAACGTTATACCCATAGATTGCCAATTTTAATTGACTTATTTTGCAGCGCAAAGCAGACGAGGCAGCTGTTGGAAAATGTGATTTGCCTATGGTTAATTCACAAGAATTAAAGCCAGGCCCGGTCGAAGCTGTCTAAATATCAACAACATATGCCATATTGTCTAAGACATTTTGATTGGGGGGCCTAAGCGTCTTTTCAAGCTTAACCAGCATTAACAGGGCTCCCACACAGAACAGTGATGCCCAAAAGTATGCCACATTAAACATATTCCAGCAGCGCAGCAATTGTACTCTCAACCTTTGGCTCGAGCCAATTAATTGAAGCCATTTCTTTCGCTTACTTTGGTGGGGGTTCAAGCCTGTTCCACTGCCACAAATTTGCTCGTCTGACGCTGATCGTTTGCGTCATTTTCATGCGGGAAACTTTTACGCACTTGCGTCTTAATTACTCACACCGCATTTGGTCCGCCCTCGTTTTCCCCCAATTCGACCGACTTTTCCGGACTCCCGCCATTTCCATTCCATGTCTTGGCTTAAATCCTTAAGCTCCTTTCACAGTTTGCCTGTCTGCAAGCCGCTTTCTACATTTGTTTTACACCCGGCGGGGAGTTTCGATTAAGGTTGCAAAGCCATTTAGCCGAGAGTGATATGTACATGTTTGATGAAAGTATTGTAAATATAAATACGTGCGCTCTTATTGTTGTTCAAATTTGTGTTTATTTCTCAGAAAGCACAGATTAAATGTACTGCAAAAAATATACTTTAGTGTTTATGCTTTAATATGCACTTTAACCTTAAACGAGATTAGTTTGTATACTAATTTTTTATTAATCGCATTTTATTTTGCTTTTAATTTTTTTATATGAGAGTATTTCTGAATTCGCCGCAACATTTTTTATCAGGATTTCGCTTTTGTGTCGCCCAACCCATTCATGAAAATATAGGCTAAGTGGCGCTTACTGTTGGAGTTTCGCGTTTAATATCTACCCTACAAATAATGGTTCGTTTAAAAAGAAATACTATAATAATTTAATGCACACCGTTGTGATAAATAGAGATTCATAGAAATAATTTACCTACAAAATTGTCATTTAACTGTAATTTCCCCTTTGTAGCGCAACTTATATGTAATCCAAAAAGTGTATTTATGTGTTGGCTAATAGGTCATACATGGCAGTCTTATCAGTTGAGGAGCTTAGCGGGTTACATATAAATTTCCCTTCTGTGCGGCTCCTTCATCAGCCTCCCATTTTTTTTCCTACCCAAAGTCATCATCATCGTTGTTGTCTTCAAGGACCGCTGCAACATGTTTGCATTTCATTTGTTAGCAAGTTGTCAACCTTTTATCTATGTTATTATGTCTTGCCTACTTTCTTACTGCTCCTTTTTGTGCCACTTTGTCTTATTTTCCACGCTTTCCAGCTGAGCTTAAAGGTGGGCATTCAAAGATTTTCACGAATGGAATACTAGCGAATTGGTGGGGGCAGTGGCTTGTCATTAGTCAACCGTCATGTCATGGGAATGGGGCGTGATGAGCGTGCAGCGTATTTATCATTGGGTGGCATCTAAGATAAGGCCGGGCCACGCGGCGTATGCGCAATAAAACAAATTAATACAAATATTAATCATACGCCGCGTGGTACGAAAATGCCAAAGATCAAGAAGTGGCCAGCCAAAAGAGTACGCGAAACATCTAAAGGGTCGGCCAACCGCAAAATTCTA